ATGGTACGTCATTGTTGTCCATGTGGTATGTGAAACACTTTGCAAAACTAAAGGACCCTTCTGTCGAATCGCTAAGAGAAAACAGTCATAATTAATTTAGTCAGGAGCAGCGGTGTATGGGTGGCCACAGCACTTCAAACAGTCCTAAAGCAGCACGTCCTGGTCTACCAACTGGGACTCAGAAGCCCTGGATTCTAGTTTTTCGTCTTCCAGGTGATTTGGGGCCAGCCCCCTTCAGACCTTAGCTTCTCCAACGGTAGGGAGGTGCTGACAGTATGGATTCATCTGTTAAGGTGTTTTGAGATCTCCTGATGAGAAGTGGCACATACGAGTTATCTATTACACTTACTACACAACAACACTGTCACCTTCTCAAGATCAGCTTCAGCATTTGGTTAATTTTTATTTTGATTCACGTAGTGCTTCTTCCATAGCATAAGAATCCATGCAAAACATGCGCTGAAGGTCTTGGCTGAAGGTCTTGGCTGAATAAGCAGGTTTTGATCCAGATCTCTCATTTGACACACGCTTATTTGTTACTACCATTGGAAGAATAGCAATGCAATTTTGACAAAGGCTGTTCATGTTCTCTCTCTCTCTCACTCTCTCTCCAATACTGAGATCCTTCCTCTAATCCAACCCTCATTCTTCCTGCTGGCTCACCCAATGCCATTTTATTAAAACTGCAGCTCATCTAGCATTCAACGGCACGACTTCTTACATGCTTCAAAATAAATCAGTGCATTGCTCCTATCCTAGCTCCCTTGCCCTTGGCTTTCAATTAAATTTAGAATCAACTATAAAAGGTACAACCTTAATGTATATGGCTCAAAATGACCTTGCTACACCTTTTCCTACCACCTGTGACTTCTTGAGCAGGGCTCTTGTACTCCAGCTCATGGCTTAAAACCTGGAAACATGAATTTGCTCTAAGCTCCTGTGGCAAACTGCAAGTCTCAAGCTGTTTAAAGTCTTTAAAGGTATGTCCAAAGTGAAAGTGCACTCCGCAGAAAGAAATCTGGGAACCTGAATCTGTCAGAGCTCAGAAATAGATTTAAAATCTTTGTGCGAGTTAAATGTTGTTTTCCTCCTTTAATTCTTGCACTCTTTGCACAGTAAATCAGCATGTTTCCTTATAGTGTCTTTATCAACAGCATTACCCAGATTAATAAGGTTATGTTATGCCCAGATAAAAAGCCACCAATACATGGAACTTACCTTTTGTGTTTTTTCTTCTGTTTCTCTTGGGCTGTTGTTGGAGCAGAGATACAAGCAATGTTGAACTCTTTGAGATGTAAACCAGGAATGTATTTATAAGACCCTAGGGGGCAACAGTGGCCTGAGAGGTTAGTGTGTAAAAAACTCATGACAGAGAGAAAATCTGGTCCTCAACTCTTCCAACCTAAGACCTCAAGGGTCTTACGTTGCCACAGACATCACTGCAGATTAGGTGGATGCAGGTGTCTGTACTTTTAAATTACCCAAATGTTAAAGTCCATCACTTGCAATTCGGTTTTACAGAGACGGTCGATGCAGTGATCTTCATGTCTATCAGTGCACAACAGGTTTTGTCATTGCTCCAATAGGACACTTTGGGAAACTCAGGATAGCCTAGGAAGTGATGTGGGTGACTCAGAAGATGGCATGCCATATGAACCGCTGCCCCAGCATGGGCCCGGGAAGCAGAGTTTGATGAGACATCCAAAAACCCGGCCTTTTGAGAGACAGAAAACATGTCTACGTTTGTAGTCCCATACTTTCTAGCATCTCAGCTCAAGTCCACCTCAGCTGATGATATTCTGAGTTACGTATTCCTGAAACAAAAGAAAAAGAACACGTGGACCGGGCGACGGGGGGCTGGGTACTTCTCTCAGGACTACCACTAACCATAGGCATGTCAAAGTCAGGTGTGGCAAGTCTCTGTTTTTTGCACACGTCATTCATATTTTTAATTGAGAATTCAAGCTCACAATTTGATCTGCAATCTCACAACATTGGGCCTTTTTTTTATTTATTTAAACCCTGCTTCTGCAGGTACATGAGAATGTGATCTTTGCAGCTTCCATTTAATATACATGTTAGTAACTGTCACACTCATCTGGAAATTTGATTCTTGAAGGCTCACATCAGGAGGCAAATAACCCAAGTGCTATTCCTTTATTAAAAAAAAAAAAATTTTTTAAATCTTTTACCTTTTTTAAGACAGCGCCCCCAGTTTTCATGGCTTGGGACTGGTAACATTGGGGCCGTCTCTTACAAAACCAAAAACAACCAAGTTTCTCTCTGTAATAGGAAGAGTCCTGGTGCTACTGGACTACAAATATCTAAATTACTCCTGCACTCACGGTTGAAGACCTTGTTCCTAAACCCCCTCAATGGATTTCTACAGAGAGTCAGACCATCATTAGAAACGTCAGAGCCGAGTGGAAGGAGAGGGTTTTGTTGCATTGTCGTATTTATTCACAACGTATCAATAACCATATTCTCTAAAACACTCATTCTTTGAGGATGGAATTCATTTTTGCAGCCCTCCATGGGTAAATGAATTAATTGAATTGAGTTAAAATTAGTTTTAAAATTAATTTATTACGTTTAACTAAATCAGGCAGAGTTTCAACACAGGGGGAGTTAAGTGCATCTAGATCAGGCATATTCCACCCCCATGCAATTAGCTCAATGAAACATCAGTTCAGGTACACAGGGGCAGGCTCACCACTATCAAGTAAGCCTTGCTATCTTGCCAAGCTGCTCCTAAGGTAGAAAGGGATTTATGTTTCTTATTTTTCCTGTTTGAAGAGCGGCCCTCTTAAGCATATAACAGCAGTGCTTCAGCAGAGCAGTTCAAGTCATAAGGAAAAACCTCTAGACCCCAATGATGGGAAAGCACCTTACCTGGAGAAGAAACATGTGGCTGTTGTGGAAGCTTCTGTTGAGTTTGGTGAGCTGCTAGGCATGGATCAGCACAGCTGTGGCTAACTAAAGGCTATCACGGGTAGCAAGGGTGCTCTGCTGAGCTTCTTTAGCTAGAACCCCTCGTTAGTTAGAAAACACACAAGCATGATGATAACCATCTGCGCCATCACACCAAGAACTGAAGCAGGGACCTTTAGAGCTACAGGGCTGGCTTGATCTAAAATACTAGCTACTTCCAGATATTGTAGCACTTCTATCCCAAGGCAAAGGATACCCCAACCGAGGCATGGGCATTACTAACCTTTATGCATGCGTTAATAATTAGGAATATGAGCAGTCAATGGGTTTATTAATTAAATAAAGGTGCTGGTAGACTGAAAATTTCTTTGGCACTGCAAATGGCTTCCTCTGGTAACACTTTACTGTTTTTTCCAAAGATACCCACATTTCTAAAAGCCCATAATATAGGGGCACTGAACCAGGGCTACAGTGTGTGCATTAGGGGGGTTGCACTAGTGACTTGAAACAAGCTCTTACTATTGACTGCTAGTTCTGGACTCAGCATGGGAGCACACTCCCCAGAGCTCTGCAGGGGCACAGACTTGTAGATCCAGCTTTAGGATCAGGACCACGGCACGTTGTCTTATGATTTGTCCACTACACAAGAAAGGTGTTTGTGCCCAAACGCTTGCAATTCAAGAATGTATTTATTTTTTTTGCAAAAATCTAGTTGGTCTAATAAAAGATAATCACCTTTACCACGAGGTCCAATTGCACTAATTAATGCATTTTGAAAGGATTTACTCGCAGAATAAAGTTCTTCTTAGTGGCATAAATGTTTGGAAAAAGGACTTTTAATTTTTTTTTTTAATTTTTTTTTTTTTTTAAAGATTTGAAATTCCTAAGAGCCGGGTTTCAGTTTTGTCCTCTGATTTTCCCCACTCTATTTTTAATTCCCCATTAGAATGTCATTCCAAAAGATTAAAAATGTAGTACAATGGGGCACAAGAAAAAGAAGATTAGTTCTGAGAGATCTGTCGAGTGCAACACTTAAAAGACTGAGGTTAGATAAAATACAAGATCTCCTCCAGATTCTGGGTTGAAATAAAACACCGAACATTTCCCCTTGGCTGGCAACAGGTGAGTTCACAATCTGGGCTTCGGCTACCACAGAAGTGGCTTCCCTAACCGATTTAGGGGGGTTACCCCCTAGGAAAACTTTTTTTTTTCTCTCTCTGTCTCACAAAACATTTCAAATGTTATCAGCTTCAGAAACAACACAGTTTCAAACCAATGGGGAAGGAGCCGATTGGCTCTAAAGTTACCATCCCTAAGTCCTGCGCTCCGTTCTGTTTGGGGCCATTGTTCTGAGCAAATCATCCATTGAAAATCAAGCCCTCCAGCTCATTATGTATTCCCTGTCTGAGATGACCAGAACTATTTCCTGCAGCTTGGTTTGGGTGCTAATTACCTGCTCAAACACCTTGTAAATACCTCTGTAAACCTGTTTTAGGAGGGAAAACTCACCTTTTCAGGCTACACACTTATTACATATTCCCTCTTTGGCTTCCTGGTGCGTGTTGTTTAATTCAGGCAGATAACTCAGCTCGTGGCCCCTTGCTATTATGAAGTGGCAGGCTCTCCCTTCCCCCCACCATTGCCCTCCCCCTCCAGGGCTAGTTTGCTACTGGCCAGATTGCAAAAAAAAAAAAAAAAAAAGTTTACAAAAAAAAGTGGGGGACCCCCATTTATTCACAGAGAGGATGGGGGCAGCTTCCTTCTCCTGTCCAGATTTGGACTGTTGATATCTCCGCACTCCCCACGACTGATCGCCAAGGCCCGTTGTGCAAACACAAGAGCTGAATATGAAAGAAGCTCCAGCTAACGCTGGCCAGAACTGGTCCTCCCTGCCTTTCAACAGAGAAAGGCCCGAGAAGGGGGGCATACAAATCACACACACACACAGTTTGGCTCTTGGGTTTGTACTTGGAAAGAAGGATTTTAACCCACCCAGCAAGAAAGAGCTTCCCAAAATGTCAATGCCCATTGCAAAGGAGGGTGAGATTGCAGAATTACTCTATAATTAGGCAGAGTTTTGATGCTGGGGTGGGGGGAAGGGAAGTTTTTTTTTCCTTTTCAAAAACACTCTTGGGATTATAGGTAAATCCCTGAAGATGATCAACAGTAACATGCTGAAGCCTTGGGAGGAGAGTTTTCAAGCTCTCTGGCCACAGCTGTAACTGGTATAATCAGTGGAGCTGCACTGATTTATCCAAGCTGAGGATCTGACCCCATTTTCAGCACGCAGTTTAGCTGCAGCTGGGGATGGGCTGTCTCTCTCTCCACACTTAGATGGGGCTCCTCACCAGGGCCCACAACTAATCTATGCGTAGGGGCCAGCAAGTGAGTAGCAGTCCAGGTTTAATTTTTAACAAGAGAGCATCTGGCATGGTCTGTGGGTGCCACATGGTGGTTTGGTTTTTGTCCCCGTGGCATCCAGACGGCGAGGGTTCATTTCCCAGTGGAGGGGAGGGCTTCCTGCCTGTGGCCCTGTGGTATAAGTGACCACTGTTAGGGAGCAAAAAAATAAAATAAAATAAACTTTAAAATGTTGCAAGAGAAAACAATCCTCCTGCGGCCACAGTAAATAAACTAACAGCAGTGGGGTGATTTGCAACCATGTAATGGGCTTTTGTCTAGGCCTATTTCTCTCTGCCTTGAGGGTTTCTGTGTTCCTGCTCTGCAGGATCCCAATGTTTCTCCCCTCCGCTACAAAGGCCCGGGGCTTGAGCCCCTCCTCTGACCATTCACCCCCAATCTTGCCCATGCTGAGGCTTACTTACAGCAGACTGAAGAGTTTCGGTGGGGTGCAGGGCACTGCAATTTAGGATTTCTGCCGTACAGGTTGAATTGCGCCGGGAGGACTCGCTGGAATTGGAAATAGCCTTTACTCATCCTTTTAACCCTTTTTTCGCCCAGACAGTTTTCAAGTCCCCGGGGCAGCTGCTCCCTGAAACAAACTCGGAGGTGTCCATAAGTTTAAATAGCTCGGAAAGAGCAAGCGGTGGCTCCAGGCGGGCACTGGAGCCCTGCCACGCTCAAGGCTGCAGTTTGGGCCTACAAGATGCCGAGCGCCCCTAGCTCTTATCGGTAACGGGAACAAAGGGCACCGCAGAGGCTCGCAGCATCAACCTGTTGGATGCCTACTGTAGGCAAAGGGGTGCGTTGTGCTGTTTCTTTGTGTTTCAGTGCAGGAAAGGAGGGTGAGAGGCTGATTGGAAAGGGATGGAAAAAAGATGCGGGCCCCTATCCGAAGCAAAACGGGTCTGGATAGTTTTCAGGCCCGCTGACTCTTCCTCTTCCTTTCCAACAGGCGCTCTTCCCCACTCCCCGTGCCATGGCATCTAGGGCAGTTGACCTGTTGGGACTGCAAAGCTCTGCTACAATGTACCTGTGTTGCCTACAGGTCCCTAGGGAGCCCCTGGCTCTTCCAAGGGGTGCCTCCAGCGTGCCGGCGGGGCCAAGCATGTGTGCTCTTGTCGGGACTTGGCGCGAAGAGCATGGGAAAAGGCATTCGGTGATCTGTGCCGCTCGGGAGCCCCGGGGGGAGATCAGCAAACAAACAAGCAAACAAGCAAGCTGCAACGGCTGATGCTGCTGGTGTTTAATCACACAGCTCAGTGCTAATCGGGATCCAGCATAAGCAGCGGGCAGGTGTTTCAGCCTTCCCTTCCCTGTTCAGGTTACTGCCGGACAAACAGAAGAGCACACCTCTAAAGGGGGCTGCGACCCCAGGGCCTGACCTGCCAGGACTTACCCACGCCAGCCTAGCTTTTCACACTAGACACAACCACGCTGCAGTAAGTTAAGAGGAGTGCAAGCCTTTGCAGGATCAGGGCCTAAGTAACCCTTGCTGTAGGGCAGGCTCAGGCCATGCTAATGAGACTGCCTGTTGGTACACAGGTCTACACTAGTGCACAACTGCTGCCCAAGATCGGTTATATGTTTGCACTGTAGTAATACCGAGAAGCCCAAGTCAGGGACCAGGATCCCATTAGATGAGTCTCTGAACAAGCACAGAAAGAAAGCACATCCCCACCCCCCGTTACAAATGCTTCTAATGTCAATGGCTTGAAAAAAAGGAGCCAAGCAAATATATAACATTGTGAATACATTTTTCCTCGGTAACTGAGGACTGATTGACAGTTACCAAACCAGGGAGAGCAATCTTGATTTCTACTTACAACAATTTAAGGGAAAAACCTCCGAGGACCTGCCTACACTGATCTTGCAGCTGTGTTTAAGACAGTTTCTGCAAAACCAGTTTATCACACACTTTTGCTGCCAGGTGGGGATGGCTTTAGAAGGGTTTTGAAAGGACACCAGCAATCTGAAATGCACTCAGGTTTACAAACAGAGCTAAAAACCTACCACACTTTCCCTTCCCACTTTCCGAATACCCTCCCAATTTTTGCAGCTTGGAATTGCTGTTTTTCAGCATTGCTTTTTATCCCCCGCCTCCTGCCACTCACTCCCCCCAATGTGTTTCGATTCCCATGTTTCTGGGTGGAAAACCATGCAAACTGAAAGAGGAAGTTGACAGAGTGCAGAAAGGTAACAATAAAACCGACTTTGCCCAACCTGATACCAAATGCACAAGGGAAGCAACGTGAAAAATAAAGACAGCTCTTCCTTCATCTTTTCAGTTATTGTGAGCTTGGAGGTTATTCATAGCGGGAGATAATCAAACGTCACTAAAAAAAAAAAAGAAAAGAAAAAGTTGTCTGTAGCCCTTTAAGAACACCCAAGACTAGAATTCAGAGGTTAAATTCAAATGTAAGCTGAACAATTTAAAAAAATAATAATAATTGTACCTAGCACTGGCTAAAATGTTTCTGTGGAGCAGTTTTTCATCCAAAAAAAGCAGTTTCGTTGCAAGCAAAATGTTTTGCAGGAGAGTGCCAATTTCAATTGTTTGCAACAGAATTTTTTCAAAACAAATTGTTGCGACAGTCTCATTTAATTAATGTCAAAACATTGCTTAGACCCCCCCAACACACTTCATTTTTTTTAATATTCACTTGATACTATCTGGGGGGGTGTATATATATATAAAGAGAGAGAGAGAGAGAGTGACATTATTGAAACAAAAATGTTTCAATGTTCCCAAAGCATTTGTCTTCAAATTCTGCAGGAAATAACCAAACTTTGGCTTTTAATTCGGATTCAGAGTTAAAACGAATTTTACAATATCAGAATTTCCCTTCAAATGGGAAATGTTTTCCCACCATCTGTAGCTCTAATTCAGTTTGGCTCCATTCACAGTAGCCAGGCAGAACTTCTCAGAAACTGGTTTAATGCAAACGGTGTTTGCAGAGGGCTATGGCCAAGGTAGAGAGGACACTGGCAGCTGATCCTCAGCGAATGTGCATTTTCATTGCACTATTGATTTTTAAACCAGCTGAGGACATGCCCCTCTGTGTGCTGCTCCAGGCTTTCAGGCAAATGGAAGAGATGCTTTCAAAAGGTTCTCGGTGTTGCCTTTCATTTTTTTTCCAGTAATTTCATATGCACCTATCTTGTACAGGCAAAAATGAAGATGTGCACATAAGATACAGCTGTGTGTGCAAAGCTGCATGGATACCTGCTCAGTTCACCAAGACAAATGTAAGATTCTTTCTGCACGTGTCAAAAGTTGGACTTTGAAAAAATTCTTGCAAAAAAAAAAAATGTTACTCTCTAAATCTCTGCCTGTAATTGTACTGAATTTCAGTAGGAGTAAAGTTTTCACTCCACTTCAACCATTTTCAGGAGGGTGAGGGGTCATTTGCATGTGTCCTCTAAGCAAACAGATTGACCTGGACATGATTCAGTAAAAGGTTTTGGGTCAGACTCTCTGGCTAAGGGTTTGTATAATGTACATCCAAACACCTCCTGCAAAAATGGCAAGGACAACTCCGAGGCCAGGTTCTGTGGTGCAAAGAGAGCTGGGGCTAGCAATGAGTGGACAGAGTGGTTTAACATGATCAACAGACTAAATCAAAAGTCCTGAACCTGCTTTTCTTAATTAATCAGGCAAAACTCACAGTGAGAACAAGACAGGTCCTAAAAAAGCAAATGCAAATCTATCATTTTCATGACGATACACAAAGACGAGCCCCAAAACATCATTTTAATCTGATTTGATCAGAAATGCCGCATCAGCGATTACAAAATGCCACAGTCATTTTGAAAGGATCTCCACATTAACCCTTTGCACTGTGGCTCCTGAAAATCAAACACTGATTTACAAATAAAAATGCTCTCGAAACATCACCGATCTGCTGTGACAAGTGAGGTGTATTTTTCTGTAAACCTGGATTCTGCCACAAGAGGATTTGATTTTTATGACTAAACAAATCTGGAAAAGTTGCACGCTTCTGAGTTGAATAGATTTAAACATGCGCAGGAGGCAAACGTGGATTGAATTAGCTTTTGTACCCTTCTTCGTTCCTTTCAATGATTAGTCTGTGAGCCACCGAGTAACAAGTGTAGAGTTCCTTAGTCTTCCCTTTTCTTGTGGTTTTACTATTTAAAACATTCCAAGCTCTGGAAGGGGCTTGAAACACCAGAGAGAAAATGAGCAGGGTTATAAACACAGGACCTGATCCCGCTCGCCCTTATCCCTTTGGGGAATCCTACCCTCGCTGTCTCAAGAGAGCAAAAACTTGCAGGATGAAGTCCCAGTTTTGCACAGCGGCGGCGTTTATTTGAGCGAGTCAAACGGGCCTTTGACACAACGTCAATGTTTTCTTTTAAAAAGCGGCTGTCAAGTTGGAAGGCAAATTAAATACACATTTATAAGCCATCTTATTATCATTATGCCCCATTTTGCAAAGGCCGGAGAAATGTCACAGGCGGTGCAGATTGGTCAGATTCCAGTGAACTCGGGTGAGCGGGGCTGTTTTGTTGGAGACCTTCTATCAGCGGCTCTGGTCACTCCATGTCAGTCAGCCGGACAAACAAACAAACACTCTGGTCACATGCCCAAATGCACATGACGGATGCAGATGTGAAGCTGTGAAAGGGCCCTTTGCATTTTAAACACCTGCAGGAATTCCAGAGCCGTTGGAATGCCTTCCACTCTAGTGCCTCCGAGCCGTCCCGATACAAAGAGCCCGATCCCGAATGCAACCCCCTCTCCCACTAGGGTCAGCTGGGCCCGAAGTTGGCAGTGAGAAAATAGCTCCTGGAATGTACAATATCCCATCCCTGTCGTGAAGGCCGGTGGGGTGCTGACAGCGAATAAGGAGAGGGCTGGTCCCACAATGCCTTGTGCTTGCTTAGGACGTGAAAGGGGCATTCTCAAAATAAGCAATAGGCCGTGCTAAAAAAAAAAAAAAAAAAAAAAATCCCCATTACGTTCTCAAAGTTTATGTTAATGCTAAACCATCCATCATTAAAACTTTCCGTTGAAAATGAAGATGCCAACTCTAGTCTATGCACACACACGCACATGCACAATCGCATTGTTTTTATTCTCAAATTACTTTCTGCATGGGGAAGAGAATGCAATTTACTATTCATAACATTTTCCAAAGAATATCCCCTAGTGCCTCAACAAAAAGGAACTATAACTGCCCATAATGTAGCCGCACATTTTTGTAACGTGATAATTGTAACTATACGCATCATTTTGTTCTCGTGTATCGGATGAGAGTTTCTTTTTTCAAAAGGTTACGCAAAAGAGTTCATTGCAGTCAATCAGTCTTCAATAGTCATTCTTTATGAACCAGCGTCATTTGTAATGCCCAGCAAAGAGTTAAAAATATCTTCAGGGCCGGATTCCCCTCTCATTTATAATTATGTAAATCAGGAGAAAACTAAATGAAGCCCTTTTACTGAAATAAATGACGCTTTGGGATACGGCTACAATTATTTGCAAATTCAGGTTGAGTTTAGGCAAAAAAAACATGAGGATACCTAAAAAATGTCAGAGTATTTTGTGTTGATATTTTCTGAACAACATATTGGCATTTTGAATGAAATGTTCTGAGTTCATTTCAAAATGGCATTTCTGTTTTAAAAATGACCTCAAGTAAAACAGATGAACAATAAAGGAGTGGTAAAATAAAATAACCCAATATGTAATAAAGCATTTCATTTTAGCTCGAGTAAAACCTTGCGAGTGATCTAAAATGAAATTGCTTTCCTTTTTTGTTTTGCAAAAAACCCCTAAAATGATGCAGGTTTAGCTCAAGCAATTTTTTTCCTGACTTTTTTTGGGGGGGTGGGTCAGCCACAGAACTGAAAAACCCATTGTGTCCAGCAGGAGCCAAGAGTTCAACTGTAAGAAGAGAATCAGGTTCATAAAGTTGCCTTCAGTCAAATGCTAATTGGAAAACAGCACTTTAAACTTACTAAAACAATAATTAATTTGCATGAGAACTTGCCCATTACTTTTAAGACATTTATTATTTCACTTTCCCACCCAGGCAGGTCCTGTCTATTTTATTTAATTGACCTTATATCGGTCCTCTGGCCAGGGGTTAATTTTGCAGTTCTAAGTGTAAAGGGAACAGCTGCATAACTTTGTCCAGCTCGTTTAATGATTTGTGCCAGGGCTCCAGCATGGAGAGCACAGTCGCTCCCATTGGTGCCATATCTATTCAATCAAAATAGTGGTCTCAAAGGTTCTGTAACTTATAACTGCCATTGTTGTCCCAAATGAGTAATTACAGCCTGTAGTCAATGAGTACAGGTCTGGCCAGGGGATCAATTCAGTCACCAGCGTGCTTTGTTGTTATTAATTAGTGTCCAAAATGCACCGTTATGGCGTATGAAATATATGAAGAGCACTTTTGCTGCTCTCTAGCTTTCTGTCCTCCGCTGCCGTTCATCCCCGTGACACGCACAGACCATTTTGCCCGGTGTGGATGCACGGTAATTGCAGCGTGTTTATAGTTCTTGCGGGGAAAGGGGCCATCAGAGTCCCATCAATACCTCCCTGACGGGGCTGCAGCCAGAGGCCCTGGGAACGGCAGGCAGAGGTGTAAGCAGAAGCAAAAAATAAAGCTGGTCAGGAACCCGGGCACAGCCAAGAGCCTGGAAGCTGAGGCTCTCGCCACTAATAGTGGAAACTCAGGTTAATTTTACTTTCTGCTTGAAACCTCTGAAATGTGCACAGGAGCTGTGTGAAAAAAGACACTTGGGCCACATCCAGATGATCACAACCATGTAGTACGTGGTGCCGCAGAGGGTGCCACATACCGCACATTCAGCAGTTCTCCGTGATGCATGGGTGCAGCACGGAGTGGGGAAGGGGGCTGACCCCTGGGTCAAAAAAACCTGCACCAAAAAAAGGTGGAGTGGCGCACGCGAGGTCAGCGCGCACCGCTCAAAACGGGAGCCTGGCTGGCCAGAGCCAGACTCCAGCTGCCAGCCAGGCTCTGAGCGGCAGGATCTCTGCCAGGAGGTTCCCAGGACCCCAGGTAAGGCTGCTGAGGCCAGCCCAGTGCTGGCTCCAACCTCCCCTACCCCACCCAGGGCAACTTGCCATGCTCCAGAGGGCACATGGCACAGGTGTTCCCCGGGGACAAGGAGCAGTGCACACGGTGTCCTGCTGCTCGTTGACCCCAGGGAACCAAACATCGTGCTCATGTGGCCGCGACCTTAGGGTCTACAGATGCCAGAGACTGTCTGTATATTGTCATACCCAGCAGCTCCTCTAGAGACATGTCACAGTAATTACCTGCAAAGGTACAACAGTCCCTTGGTGACAAGTTGGTTGGGGATGGCTTTTGCCTTAAATGAATTTCATTCTTTTCACGAGAGGACAGCATTTAGCACAAAAGGATGCAGTGCAGGCTGGGGCCTTGCACTACAAGTAAATAATAATAATGGTGGTGTCAGGCCTGAAATTTTCCATCAAACACCTGCACGAACAAAAGCAAAAGTATCAGTGTCAACAGTGACAATCCAGGGTTCAGTTTCTCATTTACCCACATTTTTATAAATATGGTTTGTACCACTAACTGTCCCGTTCCCAATACATGCAACACTATCATGTCCACATAACAGATCCACGTTTAAACGC